AGGAGGGGAGGGAGGACAGTGTCGGTCCAGGCAAGGGGACGGGTAGGAGAAGGGAGGGGGTCTGGTGGTGGAGAGGAGTAGTACGGGGTGGTTTCGTCAAAGACGACGTCAATGCTACGGATGAGGCGACCGGAGGGAGGGTGGAGGAAGAGGTAGCCAGGCGAGTCGCGGTTGTGTCCGAGATAGACACACTCGAGGGCGCGAGAAGCGAGCTTGCCGTGGGTGCGGTCGGAAGGAGGGATAAGAACGTATGCCTTACAGCCCCAGACACGGAGACCGGCAGCGTCAGGTTTTGTCCCTGACCAGAGTTCTGTGGGGGTGATGGCAGTGTGTTGAGGATGGGAGTGAAGGTTGAGGAGGAGGGCAGCATGGAGCAGAGCATAACCCCAGAGGGAAGGAGGGGTAGAGGCGTGAGCGAGGAGGCAACGAGCGATTTTGGTGATTTCACGAATGCGGCTTTCTGCGACACCATTCTGCTGCGGGGAGTGGGGAAGGGTGTGGGTCTGTTGGATGCCATGGGTGGCGCAGTAGTGGGAGAGGGTGCGGTTGAGGAATTCCCCGCCACCGTCAGAGTGAAGGCGGCCGATGGGACGGTTGAAGTGGGCGCGGCATTGCTCTGCCCAGTGGGTGATCACAGTCGGTGCCTGGTCTTTCGTGTGGAGGAGGAAAATGGAGGAGTAGCGGCTGTGGTCATCTACGAGGACCAGCATGTAGCGATGGCCCTGACGGGAGCGAGTGGGGGAGGGTCCCCAGAGGTCCATATGGACCAGGTCAATTGGAGCAGGAGCGAAGGATGGGTGGCTGTGGTGGGGAGACTGTTTGAGTTTGCCGTGGATGCAGGAGGGGCATGGAGGGGCTGGAGAGGAAGGGAGGGGAGGGAGAGTGGGAGGGAGGCTGTGAAGGAGGCGAGAGGTGATGGCAGTGCGGAGAGCGGCGAAATTGGGGTGACCGAGTCGGTGATGTAGCAGTACAGCGGGGTGAGAGAGATGGTCGGAGGTGGAGGGGGTTGGAGTGAGAGAGGGTGGGAGAGGGGGAGGTGACTGCTGCTGCTGCTGCTGCTGCTGCCCCTGCTGCGGCGGCTGCTGATGCGGCCCCTGCTGCGGCTGCTGCTGTTGCTGCGGATGCTGCCCCTGCTGCAGCTGCTGGTGCTGCTGTTGCTGCCGCTGGGGTGGAGGTGAGGTGGGGGGATGGGGAGGGTTAGTGGAGGTGCCAGCACGAGCGGTGACATGGCAGAAGGATGGCCAAGGGGTGCGGAGAGTGTAGAGGCGAGTGCGGGGGCAGAGGGGAATGCGTAGAAGGAAGCGGCCGGTGGCGGTGTGATAGAGGTCACAGTAGGTGGCATTACCTGGATACACGGCAGTGATACCTGCATTCTGGATTTCCCGATGGGAGAGGAGGTTGTTTCGGAGGGTGGGGATGTGGAGACCAGTTACCTTACCGGAGGGGAAGATTGTGCAGGGGAGTGTGGAGAGATGTGTGCATGGGATGGTAAAACTGCTGTCAGCACCGTGAACCTGAGTGGGAGGAGAGAGGGGTGTGAGTGTACCAGCATCCTTGAGAGCATTCTCAGTGGCCCCACTATCAAGGACGAAGTCCAGAGTGGGTGGGGAGGGGGAGGAAGACACCGAGTACTGGAAAGTGGTTTCATTAATGGTGGAGGGGTACATAGAAGGAAGAGAGGGGGAAAGAGCAATGTTGCCAAGGAAACTTTCCTGGGTGAGGGGAGGGACAACACTACCAGGAGGAGGTGGGGTACCCCACAGGGGAGCAGGGGAGGTCTGAGCAGCGGTGGCTGCCGTGCCAAAGTTCAGCTGGTGCTGCTGCCAGGGGGGAGTGCTGGGTCCCCACTGGGGTGGGAGCCTGGGTCCCCATGGGGGCTGCTGCTGCTGCTGCTGCTGCTGGGGAGGGTGCTGCTGGAACAGCTGCTGATGCTGCTGCTGCTGCTGCAGAAGATGCTGCTGCTGAAGATTGAGGTACGGCGTGGGGGGAGCAAGGAGGCGGAGGTGGGCGGGGAGATAGGCAGGGTTGGTTTGGATGTCAGCAGGGGAGGGACGTGGGGAGACGGTACCCCAGCGGGGAGGTGTGCCAACGTTGCCCCGTGCGTACCAGGCATCATCGAGAGCCTTGAAGCAAGTGTTAGGGGGATGGTTGGTTTGACCGCAGGGTGTCCCTGCCCGGGGACCATAGCGACGGACATAGGTGCAGGGAGGGAGAGTGCCAGGGCGGGGTCCGCGGTTCCCAGAGGGACCGCCCTGACTGGGGGTGCCGTGCTCATCCCCAGTGGAGCCACCACGGCTGCTTGCGCTGCTGCCTCCTTGACCGCTGCCTCCCTTGCCCCCACTTCCCCCTTTGCCGTTGCCTTTACCCTGCTTGCGGGGCTGGGTAGCGTTGAGAGAGGAGGAGGAAGGTTGGGAGGAGGCGAGGTTGACCATGGGGGTGTGAAGCTTAACTTCGGTATCGATGATCCATTGTTCAACAGAAGCGAGATCTGCCATGGGATTGGCCTCGGTAAAGGCGTGAAGGCGGGATTCATAGTCTGGGGTGAGGTTGAAGAGGAGGCGATGGATTTGGAGGGGTTCGGAGAGACCGGCGTGGCGGGCTTCGAGGCGATCGGCTACCTCTCGCATGCGGCCGACATAGTCTACCGCTCCGTCACAGGTGGCGAGGGAAATAGAAAAGTATTCCTGGAAGAGGATTTCCACCGAGCTAATGTCGCGGCGTTCGAACATAGCATGGAGTTCTGCCCATATCACCGAGGCACGGAGTTCCCGGGCCTGGAAGCGGCGCATGAGGGAGTCAGGGAGAGCACCAAGGATGACGGTGCATGCGCGGTTGTCAGCGGCTGACCAGGCGATCAACTTAGGAGTGAAGGTAGCCATATCGTCGTTGTATTTGGCGACGACGGCGAGGTGAGCATTGCGGCTAGCAACCGCCTGGGCGTAGGAATCGGCTGCTGCATCGTACTCGGCTTTGCGGATGAGGTAGGCACGGCGACGCATGATGAAATCTGCATCTGCGGTGGCTTGGTCGGCGGCGGCCTGGAGCTCGGGCTCAAGGGGAGGGTCGCCGGGAGGGGGAGGGAGAGGAGGGGTCTCGCCGGGGTGGTCAGGTTCGGTGGGGGGGAGGGCATGGGGGCGGTGGAGGATGACGTCAAGGACGCGGTAGGGGGGGATCCATGCATCGTTGAGGACTCGTCGGATGCTGCCGACGAACGAGTGCCAGTTAACGGCAGATTTGTCGGCTGCAAGCTGTAGTTTGTCAATGGAGGAAGTATCGATAGGAGGAGGAAGGGGGGAGGGGGAGGGCATGGGGTTAGCCATGAAGGACGGCTGCGGGTGGACCCGCAGTGGTCACGGAAGCGTGTGGCGGCAGCTGGTGGGGCTGCTGTGGCGTGGGTGCGGAAGTGGCGGGGAGGTGGTGGAGTGGCGCAGACGGCGGTGGTCGGCGCGGAGGCGGCTACGAGGCCGTGGAGCGGCGCGAGGTGGCAGCGGCTGGCGAGGCCGCGGCGAACACGGGCGCAGAGGCGGCGGCGAGGCCGCGGAGGGGAGCGGCGCGAGCGGCGGCGGCTGATGAGGCCGCGGAGGGGAGCGGCGGCGGCTGGCGGGGCCGCGGCGACGCGGGCGCGGAGGCGGCGACAAGGCCGTGGAGGGGAGCGGCGCGAGCGGCGGCGGCTGGCGAGGCCGCGGCGACTTGGGCGCGGAGGCGGTAACGAGGCCGCGGAGGGGAGCGGCACGGGCGGCGGCGGCTGGCGAGGCCGCGGCGACGCGGGCGCAGAGGCGGCGACGAGGCCGCGGAGGGGAGCGGCGTGGGCGGCTGCGGCTGGCGAGGCCGTGGCGACGCGGGCGCGGAGGCGACGACGAGGTCGCGGGGGGAAGGCGCGGGCGACGGCGGCTGGTGAGGCCGCGGCGACGGCAGGCGCGAAGGCGGCGACGGGGCCGCGGAAGGGAATGGCGCGGGCGACGGCGGCTGGCGAGGCCGTGGCGACGCGGGCGCGGAGGCGACGACGAGGTCGCGGGGGGAAGGCGCGGGCGACGGCGGCTGGTGAGGCCGCGGCGACGGCAGGCGCGGAGGTGGCGACGGGGCCGCGGAAGGGAATGGCGCGGGCGACGGCGGCTGGCGAGGCCACGGCGACGGCAGGCGCGAAGGCGGCAGCAAGGCCGCGGGAAAAGGAGAGCGCTAGGGGGGGGAGGGGGGAAGGCGGCGGAGGAGCCGAAAAATAATATGAAGGGAGGAGGCCGGGGGTTGCGGCGGCCGGGTGGGCCTTTGGAACGAGAGTAGGCCTAGGATAGTGAGCTCTATACCATGTGGGAAATAAGAGTTAGAATAGAAGTTGATGATTTGATTGAGAATGATGGGGGTATACATAGTTGGGGGTTGGATACTAGCCTAGGTTGGCATTATTGGACCCCAACCAATAAGTTGGGTTGGGTGATTATTGGTGGGGTCCAATAATGTTGGCCAAGTTGGGTTTGGGCCAACATTATTGGAAGGAGCCAATAATTCTACCCAACCCAACCTTTTGGGGTCCAATAATTGGACCAAGGTTGGGTTCCAACCTACAACCTGGGTTACCCCTGTTTGTACACCCAAACTAAGTTTGGGTGCTTATCTCTAGCCTATTCTATAGCATATATGCAGGTTACAAGAGGAGAGATATTCTAACAAAAGCGGAGGATGAGGCTGAAGAGAAAACAGATGAAGATGAAGATGAGAAGGAGGAGGAGGAGGAAGAGGAGGTGGTGGTGTTGGAGGAAGGAGAGGTTCAGGAAGATGATGAGGAAGGAGAGGAGGGAGGAGTAGAGGAAGCAGAAGCAAATAAGCCTAGCGTAGCTCGCATCAGCAAGGCCAAGGCAGGTACGAGCTGCAGCAAGAAATCCCTGTTCTCCTCCCTCCCTCCAACCCCCATTCGCTGTGACGACCGAAGCTACCCGCAAACAACAGCGTGCACAGATAACGTGAAGCGGGAAGCTCTAGAACGTCTGGTCTTCCAGCTTGGCCTCATGGGGGTCCTGGGCCTCGTGAAGCCTCTTATTATGCCGAGTGAACTGCTAGCTAGTCGAGGCTTGAACCAGGCAGACATTGACGCCTGGATTGAGGAAATGGGGCAGAGGAGGAAGGACAGAGGTGGGCTTAGTGGTGGAGGAGCGGATCCAAGAGGGATGGGCTTGGAAGGGAGTGGCAGGTCTGTGGGTCCCGGTGGAGGAGTGGGGGGTGGTGATGTGAATGCAGCAGGGGGGATTAGTGCCGGGAAGAGGAAGGGCAGAGGGGAAGAGGGTGGTGGGGGAACGGATCGGGGGATGGGCTTGGGAAGGAGTGGTGCGGCTGGGGGGGCAAGTGGAGGAGTGGGGGTTGGTGATGTGAATGCAGCAGGGGGGATTAGTGCGGGGAAACGCAAGTATGGGAACGAGGGTTTTGTGTTGGGGAAGGAGAGCAGGGGCGTATCGAAGACGTGCCGCGACAGGAGATGGAGTCAAGTTACTTGACTGCTTTCGGCAGCTAACGGTGGTAACTCAGGTGGGATTTCAGGCGGAAGAGAGAAGAGAGCTGTTTCGCCTTTAGGGCTTTGACTGGGCTGCGATTCAGGAGAATGCCAAGGAGGATGTGAGGAGGAAGGCTGAGACAGGGGAGAGGGGGAAGGCTGAGAGGGAGGAGAGGAGGAAGGCTGAGACGGGGGAGAGGGGGAAGGCTGAGAGGGAGGAGAGGAGGAAGGCTGAGAGGGAGGAGAGGAGGAAGGCTGAGAGGGAGGAGAGGAGGAAGGCTGAGAGGGAGGAGAGGAGGAAGGCTGAGAGGGAGGAGAGGCGGAAGTCTGAGAGGGAGGAGAGGAGGAAGGCTGAGAGGGAGGAGAGGAGGAAGGCTGAGAGGGAGGAGTGGTGGAAGGCTGAGAGGGAGGAGACGCGGAAGGCTGAGAGGGAGGAGAGGCGGAAGGCTGAGAGGGAGGAGAGGCGGAAGGCTGAGACAGGGGAGAGGGGGAAGGCTGAGAGGGAAGAGAGGAGGAAGGCTGAAACGGGGGAGAGGGGGAAGGCTGAGAGGGAGGAGAGGAGGAAGGCTGAGATGGGGGAGAGGGGGAAGGCTGAGAGGGAGGAGAAGAGGAAGGTTGAGAGGGAGGAGAGGAGGAAGGTTGAGAGGGAGGAGAGGAGGAAGGCTGCAAGGGAGAGAGTTGGGTGAGAGGAAGTTCAGGGAGAGGAGGCAACGAAGGGTGGGGAGGGAGGGGGTGTGAGAAAGACCCTTTCTGAAGGGGAGGGTGGTGCAGGGGGCTTCAGGCTGGGAGTCAGAGTGGGCTGCAGTGAGTGAGAGGGCGAATGCAGTGATGGAAAGGGTGAGGGAGGCTGGGAAGTGGATGGGTGGAGGCGGTGTGGGGGTTAGGTGGGGGCAGTGGCAGTGGCAGTGGCGGTGGTGGTGGCGGTGGTGGTGGCGGTGGCGGTGGTGGTGGTGGTGGTGGTGGATTATGGTATGGAGGAGTGATTGGTGGGTGGGTGGGTTATGTGTGCTGGATTTTGAGGGTGCTTCTTGTTTGTTGTGCCAGTTTCTGCTTAAGACCATGCTACCAACCGGTACCTGTTGCCTTTTTATTGTATATATTCTTCTTGCTGAATTCCATGTACAGTTTTCTTCTTTCAGATACGGTACATTGATCTTGGCCTGGCATAGCATGGCATGTCTGCAGTCTTCCCAACCAACCCTACCTTTCTCTTGTTACTGCTGGTCAGTGGTCACTACATTGATAAGGGGGATTGCCATATTTGCAGGAATGAAGGTGAAATCAGGGGAAAGGGCTGTGTAAAGAATAACAGGTTGTGTTCAGGAGTTGCATTGCATTTGTAAGTGGAGTGGTGTACATATGTTGCCAGTCCGTTGGTACATAAGCTTTTGTAGACTGAGTCTGTTCAGCAGTTGATTATCGAAATATATTCCTCACATTGATCAGCTTGCATGCTAGCAGTGCTCAGCAAATTATAGGTGCCCGCCCTACTCATCGCCTCCTCCTCCTACAGACGATGATTGCAGCTTCTCTTTTGTGACTTACAATTGGTGTTATTATTCCTTCACTTCCTGTGCTCGTCTCAACCCCCCCGCTCGTCTTCTTTAAAAAACAACCCTCTCTTTTCAAGCATTCCTGCCTGCTGTTCTGCAGTCTCTTGAGTCAGATTAGCAATCAATCCTTGCTACACCTTTTCATTCGTTTCTTATCTCCTGATTCCTCTGCAGTCTTCCCCTTTCCCCTCTGCTGCTCTCCCACCGACCCATCATCTCCGTCAGAAGCCTCAGGTGACGAACCAGATACCTCATCTCCTCCTCCTGCCGGTTCTGCTGCTTCTTCATCCTCATCATCGTCTGTTTCTGCTGCTGCTCGTCGCTTTCCCTTATGCCCCTCCGCCTCCGCCGATTTACCAGCCACATCAGTTACTGCAGTACCCGGCTCCCCGCCTTGCACATGCGGTCCCACCACGAAAACGTTCCACCATGCCTCGAAAGCCGCGCTTTGCTCCGCATCGACTTTTAACGAGCAGGTGAGACCTGTGAAACTGCCCCAATCGTCCGGTAGAGTGACTGTGCTGGTGAATGTAGGGTTCTTAGAGGTCCCTTCCTGGGCTGAATCATAAACCGGTCGACGGTTCTCCAGCATACGCATGCAGTCGTTTTGTAACACGTTTTTCGCAAAATGCTTGGCGAGTTTTTTCGCATAATCGGCCACGTGCTCGGCGCTCGCAGGTGGCTCCGCGTCCGGGAAAGAAATATTCCCAAGAAGAGCATCGCGAAATGCTGCACGGTAAGACATCTCCTTCATGTCGTTTCTCTTGGCCCGGGACGGCGGCATTAAGCGCAGAAAGTCTTCTGGAAGTTCTTCCTTATCAAGCTTCTGGCGAGCTTCGTTGTCCCCGCGAAAGGTTTTCGCTCCGAAGGTAACCTGGTGATCCCATCGTTGATGATGCAAAGGGCCCTTCGGGTGGATCACGGAATCTTCAGGCGTTGGTTTAAGGCGGAGATCGGACACGAGATGGAGCAGCATTTTGACGAACATGATGAATTATCGGAAACTAGCAACCACGGCGCTTGCGGGATTACATGCTCTAGGACACCGGGAACGACGGCACGTGAAGAGAAGCTACGGATCTGATTATGCTGTGGAACATCCTCCTGCCTAAAGCTCCTAAGGACCAAAAAGCTCCATCGCACAGCCATCATCTCTAACGCGTTGTTATCGGGATGGGTGGCAAGGCCTTCTAGCTTGTCGAATACAATGGGTAGCATGGCCGCCTGGCTTGCCGAACGCACAAGTTTCACCTTAGGGCGCGTGTCCTTGGTGGGCCAGGTTCAAATTTGAGTTCGAGTTTTGGGTGGTTACCAGCTTCGCCAGATTCGGCAGGATGGTTCGCGATATTCGTGAAAACAGCGGCGGGAGGTGGAACCGAATGTGGAATACGAACACCGGTCGACTTTATGGCCGAACGTGGGCCCGCACGAATTTGTGAACGTGTGTCCTCTGACCACGTTCATAGCTGCGGCGAAATCGGCGACACTGACGAAGTCATCGTGCGCTATTTGTAGGCCGAAGTGTTCCGTGTCGCCCAGTGACGACGTGGCGCACGAGACGGGTACGCGACGCGAGCAATGCTGTAGAAAGTCGAGTTCGATGATCGAACTCTCGATGTCACAGTTGCTTGACTGGAAATTTGCAGGGCGGCTCGGCTATCGAGAGTTGTAATATTCGAGTACAGTTCGAACCTAGTTCAAACTGTAAAAACTCGAGTCTGAAAAGCAAACTTTACAAATATTGCCGAAGGACACGCGCCCTTACAATACGAGATGGGTGGCATGGCCGCCTAGCTTGTCCAAGGCACACATCTGCGCAATTTTTTTGCGCCACCTTCTTTGGAGGCATATGGTTCGTTACTGTTGCAAGCCAGAGCATGACAAGAAAACATATAGAAAATCAGCATGCATGAGATACATCATACATTCAACTATTAAAAAACTTCACAAGCAGTCCACGACAAGGGGAGGTCATACGGCAGCTGATAATCGCACAACGTATCCCCCGTATACGGTTATTGTAAAAATGAACCATTTGTAGCATCAGGAGGAGGCCAAGGATAAGGAGTCAAACGCAGCTCGCTCCCGGTCCATGAAGAACGAGGTGACGGCTGAGAACCGCATGAGCTTATCGACATGGTAATTGATATGAACTGCCACTGCTGACCCCACCAAAGACTGCAGCCTGCCGTAGTCCCGCTTGAGCTCCTTGAAGAGAACCTATAAGGGGGATGAAGAACAACGAGAGAACAGATAATGGTCAAAGTGACTTTCGAGTTGACTCAACATGCAGCCTGCCATAGTCCCGCCTGAGCTCCTTGAAGAGAACCTAAGAAGGAGGATAATGGAACAGAGACAAGCAGCTGGAGAATGTGTGGTGGATCTTGTGTAAGACATTTCAGCTCTCTAAGGGTAACTCAAAAAAGGAAATGGAGAAATTTGAGAACGGAAACTGGAGCCTGGCACACCACAGCTAATCTTGAATGAGACTACAACTTGTCATCAGATTTAAGATCCCCAAAGACAGCATATCAAGGCTATCCCTCATGAGCGATGCGAAAAAAAACTCAAAAGGAAGCGGAGGATAGGGCAAAAAAATGAAAGAGCGCCATGGGTGGAGAAGGAAGAAAGAAAGCTGCATATCCAAGCCACAAAAACATCTCCTCATTGGGTCACCTCACCAGGACAAGCCCAGCCAAAGGCAAGGACAACCCCAGGCAAGACACAGACAATTAAAGGCAGAATGAACAAGGGCAAAGGCAAGGGCATATGATGGCCCACCTTTGAGTTGATGAAGCGATGGATGTCCAGCACACGTCGGGAGATGAACACACCCTTGTAGTCCGGCCTTGAAGGGTAAAACATTTCTTCGTTGAACACCACCAGCGGGCTCACCAGCCCCGATATACCGCCCCCTCCTCTTGCCGCCGCCCCCAGCCGAGCCGCCACCCGATCGAACAGCTCCAAAGCAGGAGCAGTGGGGCGGACCAGGAAGAAGCCGGAATCTATGGCGAATACCCGCATGGTGTGGGCGTATCGGGCCCAACCCATAGACGGATCGTCCGTTACGTCGTTGTAACCGTACGCGGATGCTTGATCGTGCCCCACACTCATGGCTTCTATGTCACAGTCTCGAACCAGCTCTCCCGAGGAGAACGGGTTACGGAGAATGGTAACATCGAGATCGGAGACTAGGATTGAGTATCCGAGAGCGAGAGCGTCTCTTAGAACGTAGAATTTCGCGCCGTTTAGGCTGTCGATTACTGAAGCTAGACGCTGGTTCGGGCTCTCGTTTGCTGAGGCTTGCGGGGGGGCGAACGCGGCGGGGAGGTTCGGGACGAGGTAGCATGCGACCTGGTTTGCCGAGGCTGCGTTACAAGCTGCTTCGGTAGCAGGATCCAGGCAGATGACAACAGCATTGGTAATTCCAACTCTCACCACTTGCCTTATCCAGATCTCCATCATACTCTGAACTTCGGCTGCAGCAACAGTAGCTAAAATCTCCTTTTCCGAAGCTATTTTGAGCAGAAGAGACTCAAATGCAGGGTCAACCCCCTCCGAACTCGGAACCACCGGCGGGTTGGTTCGGGGAAACCGAACCTTTCCGGCAGGTCCGGCCCGAACCGGCTTGAACGCACTCGGTTGGTCCGGCGTTCCTGTGCCTTCAATCACTCTGATGCCTGAAGAACCGTCTTTAGATGATCCCTCCCCTCCCCCCAGAGTTTGCGCCTGGGAGAGAAGAAGGTTTAACTGTTCCTTTGTCTCGTCTCGTGACCTTTCGATAACTTTTATGGTCGCTTGCAGCTCCTCGATTTTTTTCCGGGCAGATTCAGTTTGCTCGTGGATTTGCTCGGCTCGCTCTTCTGGGTCTGGAGAAAGCGGCGGGAATCCGGGCTGTTGGAAAACGATTGGGGAGTACGACAGAGGTGGAGGTGGAATGGCAAAGAAAAGAAAGGGTAGCAAAAGAAGAGAGTGATAAAGTTGTGAATGCGAGAAGAAACGAGCGGAAGGAAAGGGGAAGGGGTTGCAAGAGGCAACAACGAGGAAAGAAAAAAGCGTGGTAGAAGAAATGAAGGCAAATCCTTACGTGACAATTCCGTGCTGTCCAGAGGACTTGTTACGTGAGTAGATGTGGTTGCAACATGAAACTCATGTGAGGAAAATGACGATAACGCAAGGGTTGCTCCTCCAACAATCAATGAACAACTAACCATCATATAATTTCCAGAAACTACTTCAAGACACAGGTGGTAACCAGGTTACGGGAAACCCGTCCCCCTGGAATTCTACCAATGGTAACCAGATCATTTCGAAAAATCTGCACCTACCTGGATTCGACAATAGCAGCAGCGGATTGCTCCTCTAGCGAACGTTGAACGTAAACACCCACCACCGCGAGCACCAGCTTTAGGTCTGCCATGTGTGGTAACCACACCATTGTAACCATCTGGACATACCTGGGATTCGACAATAGCAGCAGCGGATTGCTCCTCTAGTGACCGTTGAACGGTGAACACCACCACCGCCAGCACCAACTTTAGGGTTGCTATCCTGGTAATAAATCACACCAATTGTAACCATCTGAGCTTACCTGAGATTCGACAATAGCAGCAGCGGATTGCTCCTCTAGCGAACGTTGAACGTAAACACCCACCACCGCGAGCACCAGCTTTAGGTCTGCCATGTGTGGTACCTACACCATTGTAACCATCTGAACATACCTGGGATTCGACAATAGCAGCAGCGGATTGCTCCTCTAGTGACCGTTGAACGGTAAACACCGACACCGCCAGCACCAGCATTAGGGTTACTGTCCTGGTGGTAACCACACTATTGTCACCATTTGAACCCACCTGAGATTCGACAATAGCAGCAGCGGATTGCTCCTCTAGTGACCGTTGAACGGTGAACACCACCACCGCCAGCACCACCCCTAAGGTCACCGCGAGGCAAATCTTGCGATCCGTCAACCCTCTTCCAGATTCCCGCTTAGGGATTCCCGCTGCCGCTCCTTGCATGATGGTACACTTTCGAATCGATCCAATAATCGGGTCGATTGAAATCCTACAGCAGCAGATTCGCGATAAAGCGGTGACGGGGAAGAGTGACGCTACGGCAAAATGAAAGGCGATCACGAGAGAAGGAAATCAACGAGCGCTTATAACGCGGTAGCGATTTTCAAGAGAGCGAGTGGAATCTGTTAGACCGCGCGTAAGAAGTTGCGAAGGCTGTCGCACAACTTGTGTGTTTCAGCGGGTTTCAAATGAACGCATGGTCATGTGACACCTAGGAAACTGCGGGATCAGGCAAGTGCGGAAAACGATAAAGTGGTATTTGGATGAACCGCCCAGATGTCAACAGGCAGTACCAGGAACAGGGAAAGCTTTCAGTACCGAAAGAGGGGTTTCGACACGGACACCGCCCTGTGTGGGGATACGCGAAGCCCCCGACGACAAGCTAAGGTAAAGCTGACTGCATCAATCATCGTTGTGGAATCCCAAGATCAACTCAACAGAAGGCGGGCGCAATGAAGACGGTTTCGAGAAAGGGTGAATACCCCCAGCAATCACCGAACCCTGGAAAATAGAGATGTGGGATAAATCTGTCAGCGGCATGTCCAATTCACCATCAAACTCGTGAGACTACCACCAACAGTGGCCAATGATTGATTATACTGTGATTAAAGCACATTCTCTTCACAAAACGGTATCTCCAACGACCACATTTCCTTCTTTCACAGAAACCATCCCTCGGTTTTGCAACGGGAAAAGCAGAGTCGTCGGAACCCGCATGAGCAGAAACCTGGCTCCAGCAGGAGCCGAGATCTGGCCCATCAGGCCCAAGTCACTTGCTCTGCTGCAGCGATCACCTTGCAAGCACTCTGCAAGGCCCACAGGTCTCATTGGCGCATATGCTCCTTGATCTTCACAGGTATCGCGAGAAAGGCCTTGGGCTCTGTTGTCAACCACCCCATCGCCGCCTGTAGTGCTATTACCACCATTGCCACCACCATCACTGCTACCATCACCACCACCGTCATCAGCAGTAGCAGCAGCAGCAGCAGCATCAGTAGGTATAGAAGGGGCAGAGGCAGCAGCATCAGGAAAACCTGAGTGTCCATGTCTGCTGACTGCTGTTGCACTAGGAGGGAAGGGTGCAGATTCAGCAGCGTGATTCCCACTGCTGTAATTCCCTGCTGGAAGCACCTCGACGAGAAAGTCGTTTGCCACGTCACCGTCTGCGTCTTGGTGAAGGGAAGTGATGTACCATGTCAGGCCCTGGTGGGGGAATACGGGGTGGGAAGAGAACAGGAAGAAGAGAGAGGAATATGATGAAAAGGAGGATATAGAAGAGAACTGATGTACCATGCCAGGTTCTGGTGGGTGTATCATGTATGTGTGTTAAGGAGGGTTATAGGGGAAACGAAACGAGTCTTGGTGAAGGGAAGTGATGTACCATGTCAGGCCCTGATGGGGGGGTGAGGGATAGGACCAGTGGAAGGTGAGGAAGATAGTGAGAAAAGAGGGAGGAGAGTCAAGCATTGGCAATCTTTGGTGAAGGGAAAGCGACGCACCATGTCAGGCCCTGGTGTGTGAATGGAAGCTGAGAAAAGGGAGACAGGAGAAAAGAGACACGTCTTGCGAAGAGGACGGATCCACCACGAGCCCTGTTGGGAACATGGGAGGCGGAGGCGGGAACGAGAGCCGAGGGGAAGAGAGCAGGCTTGGGGAGTAGAGAGTGGGGACAAAGGAGTGACGAGTTTTAGTGAAGGGAAAGATTCCAGGATAGGCCATCTCATGGAAACGAAATGAATGAGTTTTGAGACGTCTCAGGACCCAATCTTTTATCACGTGGCTCCAGCATAGGCCATGTCATGGAAACGAAAGGTTGGAATGAGTTTTGGGACGTCTCAGGACCCAATCTTTTATCACGTGTCTCCAGCATAGGCCATGTCATGGAAACGAAAGGTTGGAATGAGTTTTGAGACGTCTCAGGACCCAATCTTTTATCAGGTGGCTCCAGCATAGGCCATGTCATGGAAACGAAAGGTTGGAATGAGTTTTGAGACGTCTCAGGACCCAATCTTTTATCACGTGGCTCCAGCATAGGCCATGTCATGGAAACGAAAGGTTGGAATGAGTTTTGAGACGTCTCAGGACCCAATCTTTTATCACGTGTCTCCAGCATAGGCCATGTCATGGAAACGAAAGGTTGGAATGAGTTTTGAGACGTCTCAGGACCCAATCTTTTATCACGTGTCTCCAGCATAGGCCATGTCATGGAAACGAAAGGTTGGAATGAGTTTTGGGACGTCTCAGGACCCAATCTTTTATCACGTGTCTCCAGCATAGGCCATGTCATGGAAACGAAAGGTTGGAATGAGTTTTGAGACGTATCAGGACCCAATCTTTTATCACGTGGCTCCAGCATAGGCCATGTCATGGAAACGAAAGGTTGGAATGAGTTTTGAGACGTCTCAGGACCCAATCTTTTATCACGTGGCTCCAGCATAGGCCATGTCATGGAAACGAAATGTTGGAATGAGTTTTGAGACGTCTCAGGACCCAATCTTTTATCACGTGGCTCCAGCATAGGCCATGTCATGGAAACGAAAGGTTGGAATGAGTTTTGAGACGTCTCAGGACCCAATCTTTTATCACGTGGCTCCAGCATAGGCCATGTCATGGAAACGAAAGGTTGGAATGAGTTTTGAGACGTCTCAGGACCCAATCTTTTATCACGTGGCTCCAGCATAGGCCATGTCATGGAAACGAAAGGTTGGAATGAGTTTTGAGACGTCTCAGGACCCAATCTTTTATCACGTGGCTCCAGCATAGGCCATGTCATGGAAACGAAAGGTTGGAATGAGTTTTGAGACGTCTCAGGACCCAATCTTTTATCACGTGGCTCCAGCAGAGGCCATGTCATGGAAACGAAAGGTTGGAATGACAGAGGACGGGAAGTGAGGGGCCAAGGAGAAAGACACTTGGCCAGGAGGAAACAGAGACGAGATGAGCCTTGGTGCACCACAAGCCATGGCGGAAGAAAATAAAGGTGGGGACAGCAGAGGAGAGGACGAGAGTGGGCCAAGAATAGAGGGACGATTCTTAGTGAAATAAAAAGGCACCACAGGCCATGTGGGGAAGCTTGACAGTGGGGATGAGAGGGAAGAGGAAAGCGAGTGGGCCAAGGGGGGAACAGAACATGCGAGAACATCTAAGCATTTTCTCTGAGTACGCACATGTGGAATACAGCCAGACAGGCCAGAGAACAATGCTGCGCCTACAAACCAGGGCCGAAATGAGGAAAGCCTTAGAGCCAACGGGAGGAAGAGAGTGGGTCAGGGGGGAACAAAAGGGATGTTAACATTTTCCCTGAGCACGCACATGCGAGACACAGCCATGCCAAACAACAATGCGGTGCCAGCCAATCAGGGCCGGCATGGCACCATTGCTTGGGATGCCAGAGAGGGTTGTCACGATTGTTGTTACACAGAGCCGTCACAAACTCCCATGTCATTTGAGTCGACTCAAAAGTCAGAGCCGTCACAAACTCCCATGTCAAGAACCAATTTCTGAAACGACCACTTCCAATTGCTGGCTGGAACAACCACTGCGTAGCAACAAAGCTGTGACGACAACCCGCCGCGCCCTGTTTCATCTCTACCATTTCCCCACCTGCACGCCTCCCTCTCCATGCTCGGCCAGCCGAATCAGAGGCCGCCATGTCAGCCCGTTGCTGTCAGTCTGAAGCTCTCCTCGTGGGTCACCCAAATGCACCCCCGGGCCCTCCCCATCCCCGTGCCGCTCCCTCCCTGCCGCTGGCTTACTGCCTCCACCACCCCTTCGCCTTGCCCTGCCCTCCATACCCGTCGCCTCTTCCTTCCTTCCTCCACACGCCCATCGCTTCCTTTCCCTCTCCCCATTCCTTCCCCTCTCCTCCCTTCCTCCTCCTCCCATCCCCCAGAACCCGCGTCCGTTTCCTGATCTATCCCAGAAGCCTCCTCCTTCACCGTCTACACCCTCGCCCTCGTTATTGTCATCCTCGTCTTCGTCGTCATCATCAAAAAGCTCGTATACAGTTTTGAAGAATTTTCCTATGGCGTGCATCCTGCCCTTAGCGTTGAAGAGCGAGAGAGGTTAATAACGAGGATACTGCCAATCTCTGTGAGACGGGGGAACGAGGGAACGGAGTAGGCGCGTATTGGATAGGGGGAGGAGAGGGAGAGAGAGGGGGGTAAGGAAGAGCGGAGAGGAGGGGAGTGGGAAGAGAGGGGAGATGATGAAAACGGAAAATGTCAGTGTAAGAAGACCAATTCAGATTTGGTGGTTAGACGTATCAAATCATGAGGCCCCTTCCGATTGGACGATCAGTGGATCAACGATGCGGTAACCAATCAGAGGGTCGGGAAAAAAAAAAAAACGCGATTCGCCTGTCTACTCTCGGGACGTCAATATCCAGAACCTTATCAGACAGGAAAGGATGATGAAACGCGCCATGCCAATTCTTCTAGTTCTCCCAATTTTCCTGATCGCAGTCAGTGTTCAGTCGATCAGCAGTAACCGTGTAACAAGGTCATGCAACGTACAGTGCAGCGCGCAAGCAACGGCCTCTCGGCGCCTTCGAGATCTAGGGTTGCGGCGCCGCTTGGGATTACTTCTGAGCCGACCCAAAAAGTCAGGGTTGCAGGGCGTCTCTGGATCAGATTCAGCAGTCGCCGTGAAACGCGATTCGCGGAAACGGATATAGAATGTGCCGGAGCAAGATCGCGCGTCCGACGCAGCAGCTGGGTAGGCGCGGACGGGTACCTATCCGACTCGCAACGTCATGACAGCTATCGACTATCTGCAGAGTCCCGCGACTTCGATTCAGTGTTGCGTTGCGTACAGAGGAAATTCCGTCCGTCCCGCTGTGCAACGACAAACAGCTCTCTCTGTCTGTCTCCAGCCCGTTGAATGACCCTGCGACTGTGTGGCCGTACTCAGTAAAAGGCAGGCTACTGTAGTCTTATTAGCAGGCCGAAAAGGGACTCATACATCACTTATATTTATAAGCAGAAAATATGAAACACAAAGGCGACCTTCAGAACTCAAAAGTTTTATATGGTAGGTCATAAGACATGTAACAAGCAAATATTACACGATAGCCTCATAAAATCTTACAATACCCTATTTATATATGTATTCTTTGTACTGGTAGTAGTTATGATACAACCATGCGACATCCCAATGGTAGCTACTCTTGCTGCTGAATTAGAAGGTCCAGCCAGCGAGTTCCCTGATTTCAACAGACTTTCAGCGATCTCTTTCGAGTCAAGTCAACTCTCTTGAAGTCAACACAGTAACACCCAACAAATACCCAGATTCCTCATCCCCCCCCACCTCCCCCTGCTGGTTTTCCTGTTGAGTTTCCTGATTCTGAGGACCTCTCAGTCATCTCTGTTTGAGTCACCTCCCTTTGAGTCAACTCTGCACCACCCAGTAAATGCCCCGACTCCTTGTCATCCACTTCAACCTGCTGGTTTTCCTGTTGAGTTAGCTGATTCCAAGGACCTTTCAGTCTCCTCCCTTTGAGTCAACTCAGCACCACCCAGTAAATGCCCCGACTCCTCGTCCCCCGCTTCCCCCTGCTGTTTCTGCTCCTGCTCTTGCTGCAGCTTCCTGGAAGTCTCCTTGGCTTTCAGTTCCTGAAAAAGGTATGAGGCAGGCAAGAAGGAAGGGTTGAAGAAAAACCGTTAACAAGGGGCAAGCATAAATGAGAGGGCGGAAAAAAACAAAAGGCTCCTAATTGCTTCAAACTCAGCAGAAGATGCATAATTCTGCTGCATGTTGCGAAGGAGTATCGGCACAGCAAGGAAGAGCAGAATGAGATGAGTGCAAGGAGTACTTTTTAGAGAGTAGGGTGGACCATTGGGTTTAGTACAGTGAACACTACAAGACATCATATAAGGGCGCGTGTGATCTTTGCAATTGGAATAAGTTTACATTTTTAGGTCGAATGTTGCATTTGAACTCAGGGTGAACAAAACTCGACTTTCCTTGCAGCGAAGTTTGAATCTTGGGACCCCAACTCAGATAAGTCACATTCACACACCCCAGGTCGAACACAGAGATTCGACCTTACAGGGAAGGCAGCGAGCCGCCCGTAGGGGGTGTAGGTTACCCGGTACAGCGCGCCACGTCAGCATACTCCGCAACGAAACTCCGCGACCTTCTGAGAACAAACACACGCTCGCTTCAACGTGCACCCGCACCTTCACCCGTGTGATTCGAGTTGAGTTCACATTTGACATTCACACTTATGTGCCCCCCGAATTCTCATGCCTTCGCCAAAGCATTTCGGCGACATTGGCAAAGCGGGTAACCACTCAAAGTTTGACTTTTTTTTTTTTCGAACTTGAGAATAGATCACACGCGCCCTAATACCTGCATTTCTTCATAACATAGAACCTGAACGTTTATTTACTGTACCTGTATCTTAGTGCACGACATGGACATCCTCAGTAACTGTAGTATCTGAGCCTTCCTTTTGATCCATCTAAAATTTCATGTGTACCACCTGCATCCTCTTTAGAGCATTGCACCTATACCTTAACTGTACTGTACCTGTAGCTTCACTTCACTGTACCTGTAGCTTCATGCTGTTGTACCAGCAGACCCCAGCAAAGGCCACCATGTGAGTGTCTGCAACCTCAAGTTACTACACCTGCAACTTATTACGTGCACCTTTATTCTAACGTACCTGTAGCTTCATGCTGTTGTACCAGCACACCCCAGCGAAGGCCAAAAGATAGCCAATCAGGTTAATTGCCGTGACTCGATCGCGGATAACCGACCATGAGAACGCAATCAGCAGCCAGTCCTTCACCACTCCTGAGGCACGCATTGAAGGGGATGAATAAAGGTAAGATAATTTTCAAACAAGGTTGATTGCTGTGAGTCTATCACAGATGACCAACCGAGAGAATTCAATCAGCGGCAAATCCCATCATCAATAATTAACCATGAGAATGAATAATTAACCATGAAAATGAATAATTAACCATGAGAATGAATAATTAACAATGAGAATGAATAATTAACCATGAGAACGAATAATTAACCATGAGAATGAATAATTAACCATGAGAATGAATAATTAACCATGAGAATGAATAATTAACCATGAGAATGAATAATTAACCATGAGAATGAATAATTAACCATGAGAATGCAATCAGCAGCAGGCGAGGAAGGACTAGACGAGGTGGGTTGTAGAGTCGACTCAAAATTCATTTTATGATAAATGAAAGGGCGGGGAGACATGCGAGGGAGAGGAGGATATTGGTAAAGAGACCAAGTTTCGCAGCACACTGTGATGAAGCGGAGGGGCTATGGCACACTGTGAGGTTGTTGACCAAGTTGCCATGGCAAGTGAGGAAGAGGAAGGGGGGTCCTTGTCACGGGAGGAAGAGGAGGATATTGTTACAGAGACCAAGTTTCGCAGCACACTGTGATGAAGCGGAGGGGCTATGGCACACTGTGAGGTTGTTGACCAAGTTGCCATGGCAAGTGAAACAGAGGAGGGGGGTTCCTGTCACTTCTTTCCCAACAACGCGCCTTCCACGTACTTTCCCCTACCTGCCATGCCATGTTCGTTTCACATGCCGTCATCCCCTACCTACTAGTTGCTTTCCACATACCTGCCACGTTCGTAGCCAGAGCTGACGGCATTTCAGTGAGCAGAAAGGCATTGAGGTTGAGAGTGAGGGCACATGCGTACTTGGGCAAGGAAATACATTACACGGGTGAGAGGTAGCGATGTGATGAGTACATACAACAGACCACACACCTGCCACGTTCATAGCCAGAGCTGACGTTTTCCCAATGAGCAGAAACACAGCGAGGTTGAGCGGGGATGGTGAGCGAGGGAGAGAGGGAGGTACCTTCCACATACTACGTACCTGCCACGTTTACTGTGAGAGCTGACGTTTTCCCAATGAGCAGAAACACAGCGAGGTTGAGCGGGGATGGTGAGCGAGGGAGAGAGGGAGGTACCTTCCACATACTACGTACCTGCCACGTTTACTGTGAGAGCTGACGTTTTCCCAATGAGCAGAAACACAGCGAGGTTGAGCGAGAAAGCACACGCGCAGTTGGCGAGATAAAGGACGAGATCATGGTGAGAGGAGATGGTGAGTGGGGTAAACAAGATGTACCTTCCACGTACCTACCACTTACCTTCCATGTACCTTCCACGAACCTTCCACGTACCTTCCATACCTTCCACGTACCTTCCACGTACCGACAGTCACTACGTACCTGCCACATTCATTGTGAGAGCTGACGTCTTCCCAATGAGCAGAAACACGGCGAGGTTGAGCGAGAAAGCACAAGCGCAGTTGGCGAGGAACAGGACGAGCGCAGGTTGAGCGGGGATGGTGAGCGAGGGAGAGAGAGCGAGGCGCACCTACCTTCATCCACCTACCTTCCTCCACCTACCCTCCACATACTACGAACCTGCCACATTCATTGTGAGAGCGGATGTCTTTCCAATGAGCAGGAAGACAGCGAGGTTGAGTGAGAAAGCACACGCGCAGTTGGCGAGGAAAAGGACGAGATCATGGTGAGAGGAGATGGTGAGCGGGGAACAAAATGTACCTTCCACATACCGACAGCCATTACATACCTGCCACGTTCATAGTGAGAGCTGAAGTCTTCCCAATGAGCAGAAACACAGCGAGGTTGAGTGAGAAAGCACACGCGCAGTTGGCGAGGAACAGGACGAGCGCAGGTTGAGCGGGGATGGTGAGCGAGGGAGCGAGGCGGGGGTACTCGACGAGAATCCAGGGGATGGAGAGGAAGAGGAGGCAGACGGGGGAGATGTAGTAGAGGGATGTGATGGGGTTGAGAGAGACGCCCTTGGCTGTGAGGAGGATCTACGGGAAGGGAAGGAGCGGAGACAGGAAAAATACAGAGAAAGAGCAGGAGAGAGGGAAAGGTTGAATAAAGTGTCGGGGGGGGAGGCGGGAGTGGTGCAGAGGGGTTCTTGATTGGGGAAGAAGCACGCAAAGGAATGGGAGCGAGGCGGGGGTACTCGACGAGGATCCAGGGGAGGGAGAGGAAGAGCAGGCAGACGGGGAAGATGTAGTAGAGGGATGTGATGGGGTTGAGAGAGACGCCCTTGGCTGTTAGGACGATCTGTAGGAAGGGAAGGAGCGGAGACAGGAAACATACAGAGAAAGAGCGGGAGAGAGGGACGGGTTGAATAAAGTGTCGGGGGGGAGGCGGGAGTGGTGGTGCAGAGGGGTTCTAGATTGAGGAGAGGCATGCAAAGGAATGGGAGCGAGGCGGGGGTACTCTACGAGAATCCAGGGGATGGAGAGGAAGAGGAGGCAGACTGGGGAGATGTAGTAGAGGGATGTGATGGGGTTGAGGGAGACGCCCTTGGCTGTCAGGAGGATCTGCGGTGTGGTGGTGTGGGGAGAGTAGGGTAAAGGCGGGGGAAGAAGTGAAGGGAGGACGGGGTTCTGAGAGGGATAGAGGAGATGTAGTAGAGGGATGTGATGGGGTTGAGAGAGACGCCCTTGGCTGTCAGGAGGATCTGTGGGGAAGGGGAATGGAGACAAGAAAAGAGAGAGAGGGATTGAGGGATTGGGTGATAAGACGGTGTGGGAGTGGAGGCGGGAGTGGTGCAGAGGGGTTGTGGTTGAGGAGAGGCACGCTAAGGAATGGGAGCTAGGCGGGGGTACTCAACGAGGAGCCAGGGGAGGGAGAGAAAGAGGAGGCAGAATGTCGAGGCACAGAGCCTTGCAGCAAACGGCAGGTAGCTGCAGCTGCAGCACCCCCCCCCCCCCCCCCAAAAGCGTTCAAAGTCGCCTCCCCAGCTCACCAATGTCAACAACACACGTCTTGAGGGCGCGTCATTTCCATCTTGAGCAGCTCAACAGCTCGCGGTACAAAGTTGTTCAAGAGTTGTTCAAGAGTTGTTCAAGATGGAAATGACGAACAATGCGTTCAAACGAGCTTGAATGGGGTTCAATCAAGCGAGGCTGGTGAAGAATTTCTGGTCAACAGAAGGATTTCGAACCATGTTACACAAGCGGATGAACATGCCTCGTCCAAAAAGCATTGCGACAGCATTGCCGGTTGTGACTCCCATAACCTCTTCGCCAGCCTCGCTCTCACTGGCGACAGACGTGGTGCGCGAAAAGCCACTTGGTCAATTGTGCTGACCAGCGATGCGGTACAGGATATTTGTGCTGGCGAACGAACGTGCTGTTCAGTCGACTCAAATACAGTGTTGACCAGCAATGCGGCAGACGATACTTGTGCTGACGAACGAACGTGCTGTAAGAAACAGTCGATCGCACGTTCGTCAGAAGGCTGGTCAAGATGCATGCACCCTTCTTGACCAGCCTTAGTACAACTGTATCGTAATTAACAAAGCCACCCGAAATTAGTTCTGTATGATCAAGTCTCGAACAACATTGTACCGCGTCCTGAGACAGGCAGACGTGAAATAGTTTGCCGAGCCTTGGCCTCAAAGCACACGGCAACCAGCTGCAGCAGCACCCCTGTGGCGTTGAAACCCAAGGGCTTTCAGCCTGCAGCTCACCTGTATAAGCACCAGCCTTAAGGCCTCAAACCACACGGCAGCGAGCAGCAGCAGCACCCCAGTGGCGTTGAAATTTGCCTTCCCATACGCTGCCACCACCACCCCCACTGTGATGGCTACCATGTTGGTGAAAGAGAAGACCCTATCTGATCCAAAACCTAAGGGCTCGGAGCCTGCAGCTCACCTGAATGAGCACCAGCCTTAGGGCCTCGAAACACACAGCTGCAAGTTGCAGCAGCACCCCGGTAAGGTTGAAATTTGCCTCCCCATACGCCGACACGGCCACCCCGACTGTAATCGGCGACCCCAGCAGCACACAGCTGCCAGCTGCAGCAGCACCCCTGTGGCGTTGAAATTCGCCTCCCCATACGCCGCTACCGCCACCCCTACTGTGATGGCTACCATGTTGGGTGGAAGTCCCAATTTGAGCCTCATGTCAGGACCTAGCCTGCAGCTCACCTGTATAAGCACCAGCCTTAAGGCCTCAAACCACACGGCAGCGAGCAGCAGCAGCACCCCAGTGGCGTTGAAATTTGCCTTCCCATACGCTGCCACCACCACCCCCACTGTGATGGCTACCATGTTGGTGAAAGAGAAGACCCTATCTGTTCCAAAACCTAAGGGCTCGGAGCCTGCAGCTCACCTGTATGAGCACCAGCCTTAAGGCCTCGAAGCACACGGCAGCGAGCTGCAGCAGCACCCCGGTAAGGTTGAAATTTGCCTCCCCATACGCCGCCACCGCCACCCCCACTGTGATGGCTACCATGTTGGCAAAGGCAGAGGTTTTGAAAACCTCTCGCGTGAAGAGGACTCCGAGGAGGTAGACGGCCACTGGCATGAGGGCCTTGAGCATCTGGCAGGGGGGATGCATGGGGTGCAGGAGGGGGAGAGAAGATAACACATGAGTGAAGGGAAATACGAGATTCAAAAAGCCTCTGAACTCCCTCATTGAAAACAGGCAGCCACAAGCCGCCACTGCCACCCCTACTGTAATGGCGACCATATTGCTGCCACGGCAGAGGTTCTGAAACATTCTCGCGTGAAGAGCACTCTCCTAGGAGGTAGACAGCCACGGGCATAAGGGCCTTGAGCATCTGAGAGGGAGAGTGGATGGGGGAAGAGACCATGTTGGGGAAGGCAGAAGTACGGAAGACCTCTCGGGTGAAGAGCACTCCCAGGAGGTAGACAGCCACGGGCATAAGGGCCTTGAGCATCTGAGAGGGGCAGGGTCGGGGAAAGACAAACCACGTGAGTAAATAAGGAGACCTGGACAGTGACACGTGCTGCAAAACAGCCACCCCTACTGTGGTGGCTGTCAGGCTACCGTATTGGCCAAGGCAGAGGAAGGACTCCGGAGTGGTTGACGGCACAGCCACGGGCATGAGGGCCTTGAGCATCTGCGAGGGGAGTGAATGGGAGAGGAAAGGGGAAGGGGCAAGAATATGGTGGCGAAGGCAGAACGAGGTGACTTTTGAGTCGACTCAAAAGTCACCTCTGAGAGGGGAGTGAATGGGAGGGGAAAGGGGAAGGGGCAAGAATATGGTGACTTTTGAGTCGACTCAAAGGGGAAAGGGGAAGGGGCAAGACCATGGTGGCAAATGCAGAAGCCTGGACGTCCTCTCGCGTGAAGAGCACTCCTAGGTTGGAGGTAAACGGCCACGGGCATGAGGGCTTCGAGCATCTGAGAGGGACGGGGTTGAGGGAGGGAGGAGCGACATGAGTGGAGGAGGAAACCTGAGCAGGCCTGGGCACATCACATGCTGCTGCCGATTTTTGAGGCGCCTCAGAAACCTGAGCAGGCCTGGGCACATCACATGCTGCTGCCGATTTTTGAGGCGCCTCAGAAACCTGAGCAGGCCTGGGCACATCACATGCTGCTGCCGATTTTTGAGGCGCCTCAGAAACCTGAGCAGGCCTGGGCACATCACATGCTGCTGCCGATTTTTGAGGCGCCTCAGAAACCTGAGCAGGCCTGGGCACATCACATGCTGCTGCCGATTTTTGAGGCGCCTCAGAAACCTGAGCAGGCCTGGGCACATCACATGCTGCTGCCGATTTTTGAGGCGCCTCAGAAACCTGAGCAGGCCTGGGCACATCACATGCTGCTGCCGATTTTTGAGGCGCCTCAGAAACCTGAGCAGGCCTGGGCACATCACATGCTGCTGCCGATTTTTGAGGCGCCTCAGAAACCTGAGCAGGCCTGGGCACATCACATGCTGCTGCCGATTTTTGAGGCGCCTCAGAAACCTGAGCAGGCCTGGGCACATCACATGCTGCTGCCGATTTTTGAGGCGCCTCAGAAACCTGAGCAGGCCTGGGCACATCACATGCTGCTGCCGATTTTTGAGGCGCCTCAGAAACCTGAGCAGGCCTGGGCACATCACATGCTGCTGCCGATTTTTGAGGCGCCTCAGAAACCTGAGCAGGCCTGGGCACATCACATGCTGCTGCCGATTTTTGAGGCGCCTCAGAAACCTGAGCAGGCCTGGGCACATCACATGCTGCTGCCGATTTTTGAGGCGCCTCAGAAACCTGAGCAGGCCTGGGCACATCACATGCTGCTGCCGATTTTTGAGGCGCCTCAGAAACCTGAGCAGGCCTGGGCACATCACATGCTGCTGCCGATTTTTGAGGCGCCTCAGAAACCTGAGCAGGCCTGGGCACATCACATGCTGCTGCCGATTTTTGAGGCGCCTCAGAAACCTGAGCAGGCCTGGGCACATCACATGCTGCTGCCGATTTTTGAGGCGCCTCAGAAACCTGAGCAGGCCTGGGCACATCACATGCTGCTGCCGATTTTTGAGGCGCCTCAGAAACCTGAGCAGGCCTGGGCACATCACATGCTGCTGCCGATTTTTGAGGCGCCTCAGAAACCTGAGCAGGCCTGGGCACATCACATGCTGCTGCCGATTTTTGAGGCGCCTCAGAAACCTGAGCAGGCCTGGGCACATCACATGTTGCTGCCGATTTTTGAGGCGCCTCAGAAACCTGAGCAGGCCTGGGCACATCACATGCTGCTGCCACGGCCACCCCTACTGTGATGGCGATCATGTTAGTAAATGCAGAGGTTCTGAAAGACTCTCGGGTGAGGTAGACGGCGACTGGCATGAGGGCCTTGAGCATCTGAGAGTGGTGTGGTGTGGTGTGGTGTGGTGTGGTGTGGTGTGGTGTGGTGTGGTGTGGTGTGGTGTGGTGACGCGTGGCCAGCACACACCCACTACCCACCCACCTGGATGAAGAAAACGGAGAGGTAGATGTAAACGGAGTTAAACCAGAGGCTGAGGGGGTAGAGCGTGCCGATGGGCAGCATGGATGTAGGTGAGGTGATGTGAGGTGAGGTGAGGTGAGGTGAGGTGAGGTGAGGTGAGGTGAGGTGAGGTGAGGTGAGGTGAGGTGAGGTGAGGTGTGGTACGGTGTGGTGTGGTGTGGTGAGATGTGACTAGCCTAATAGCCTACTGATAGCTGCTGCTGCTGCTTGTACAGAGCTGCAAGCATTGCAGCACACAATACAATACCCACCTGGATGAAGGAGACGGAGAGGTAGATGTAGGCCGAGTTGGAGAGCCAGAGGCTGAGCGAGTAGAGCGCGCCTAGCACAGAGGTGAGGTACAGTGCGCTGTGGTGTGGTGTGGTGCGGTGCGGTGTGGCCAGAACACCATCGAGTACATACCTGGATGAAGGAGACGGAGAGGTAGATGTAAGCCGAGTTGGAAAACCGGAGGCTGAGCGAGTAGAGCGCGCCGATGGGGAGCACTGAGGTGAGCGGTGAGGTGTGGCGTGGCGTGGTGTGGTGTGCGCATGCGAGCAGTGCAACACAGCCAACACTCCACCACACTGACTATGCTCACCACCCACCTGGATGAACGAAACGGAGAGGTAGATGTAGGCTGAATTCGAGAACCAGAGGCTGAGCGACTAGAGTGCGCCGATGGGGAGGATGCAAGCAGTGCAGCACAGCATACACTCACCACACTCACCACACTTATTACATCTACCACCCACCTGAATGAACGAAACGGAGAGGTAGATATAGGCCGAGTTGGAGAACCAGAGGCTGAGCGAGTAGAGCGCGCCGATGGGGAGGTGAGGTGAGGATGAGGTGAGGTGAGGATGAGGTGTGGTATGGTGCGGTGTGGTGCGGTGTGGCCGGAACACTAGCGGCTGCTTACCTGGATGAAGGAGACGGAGAGGTAGATGTAAGCCGAGTTGGAGAACCAGAGGCTGAGCGAGTAGAGCGCGCCGATGGGGAGCACAGATGTGAGGTACATCTCTGTAGAGAGAGCGATGGGTTCCACCACTCGGAAGACCTTGACCAATAGGAAGGCGAGAGCCGAGCAGAAGGCCATGTGGATCATGGTGAGACTGGTGGGGGGGGTTGGGAGAGCGGGGGGAGGGGTGAGGGGAAGAAAGGGAAGGGAAGCGAGTGGAAGGGGAGGGGGAGGGGAGGAAACAGGAAGGCTGATGGGCAACACTGATGTGAGATACAACTCCGTAGAGAGAGTGATGGGTTTCACCGCTCTGAAGACCTTGACCAATAGGAATGCGAAGGGAAGTGGAAGGGAAGTGGAAGGGAAGTGGAAGGGAAGGGAGGGAAAGGGGAGAGGAAGGGAAGGCAGATGGGCAACACTGATGTGAGATACATCTCCGTAGAGAGAGTGATGGGTTTCACCACTTTGAAGACCTTGACCAATAGGAAGGCGAGGAGCGAGCAGAAGGCCATGTGGATCATGGTGAGACTGGTGGGGGGAGAGGGGGGGGAGGAAGAGGGGGTAGAGAAGGGGGGAAAGGGGATGGGGAGCACGGAGAGGCGAGGAGCGAGAAGAAGGTTATGTGGATCATGGTGAGACTGGTGGGTGGAAAGGGGGGGAGGAGAAGGGGAAGGGAGGGGAATGGGAGGGGAAGGGGAGTGGAACGGGAGGGGAGGGGAGGGGAGGGGAGGGGAGGGGAATGGGAGGGGAGTGAAGGGGAGGGGAGGGGAGGGGACGGAAGGGGAGGTGAGGGGAGGGAAGGGGAGGGGAGGGGAGGGGAGGGGAGGGGAGCGGAGGGAAGGGGAGGGGAGTGAAGGGGAGGGGAGGGGATGGGAGGGAAGGGGAGGTGAGGGGGGGGGAGAGGAGGGGAGGGGAGGGGAGGGGAGCGGAAGGAAGGGGAGGGGAGGGGAGGGGAGGGAGAGCAGAAGGCCACGTGGATCATGGTGAGACTGGTGGAGGTGATGGGGGGTGTGGATAAATATGCGGAAGGGATGGAGAACTTGAAATAAACTGCTTCTGGCACTTCCGTGGCAATGGAGATTTTTTAGAATTATGGCGAATTTGCGTCTCTCACTTCTGCCTGCAACGATTTGAGTTTCGGTAAAGACCAGGTTGCGTGTGGGGATTTCGTGGTCACTGGAAATGAGGAGGACGGAAGGGGTGATTGGTGTGGAGAATGGTGGGGGGGAGAGGCGGGGAGTGGAGGGTGGTGAAGGGGAAATGGTGGGGGGAGGGTATGATGGGTGGAATGGTGGCGGGTTGGATGGTGTATCGCTCGCGTGCACTAAATGCGCACCTGATAGGGTAAGGCCAGTTGTATAGCTTTCGGTCGAGGATGTACTTGTTGAACACAATTACGGAGAAGCTTAAAACGATCCACACGAGCACGTAGAAATAGCTCAGGGCGATCTTCCTGCCGACGGATTCCGAGATCGCCATGATTTATGGAGCTAAACGGACGGTCGTGATTAAAATCTGGTGATCAACGAGCTGGTGATAAAGTCGTAGAGGCAGACACGCTTGCAGGCTCCCCTAGCTGTCGTTTCACCTTCGACCTACTCGATTCGCCTTCGCCCTGTTTTTTTGTTTTTTTGTTTGTTTGTTTGTTTTTGTTTTTGTTTTATTTTCCTTGTTTCCGGCACTTTTATTCTACTAATGTTGTTTCTAATGCAATGCGCGCCTAACTGGGAGATAAAGGGGAAATCAGACGCCTAATTCGACGCAATCTGACGTAAACGCTACGAAAAAAACCGTGCTAGCTTTTGTCGAGATCTAAATGTGGAATGCAGCTTCGTCAACGAACGATAGAACAAGTCACGCTGACGCGCGGGATCCTAAGCTTTCAGTCTCACGAGTCACGACTTGGAACTGACTGCGCACGTGCATACGTTCGCCTGACGCACCTCTTAAAGCTGAAGTATACATTTGTCATCCAGGTTTTGGGTTTAGAAAGTCACCTCACGGTCTCACAGGCAAACTTTCAAATTTCAAAAGTTTTTTAACCCCTTCTGTCAAATGTATACGAAAGCTTTAAGGGCGGGTGACAGCGCGTACGTCACAGTTCTGTCGTGGTTTGAGACGATATAAAACGGTGTACAGCGGTATTCTAGTTTCACCGTTTTGCACCGTGACGCAACAAGATTAACCGCACAGAATGAATTGTTAAGTTACGCGTCCTGTGGGCGTGTGCACGAGTTCTCTCTTTCGGTTCATAATCTACGGTGGAGAAAGGTTCTGTGCTTCTTGGAGCGGTTTTGAACCCTGACCCACCAGTCTGAACAGTGATTTATGGTCAGGTTTGCCCGAGCAAGGAGGGTATATCAACTCAGGACGCGATCCATTTGGGGCCTCCGGAGCAAGAGTTCGAAGGAAACAGGTGTAAACAGGTGTTTAATAAAATGCCAGAGCGATGCGTCGTGGTATTCTGGTTCGGGTCAGAATTACCCTCTTGTATTTCCATCTCTGTTCCTACAACTTGCACTTTCTTAGAGTTGGAAATATACATGTTACATGTCCGTGTAATGGGGCAGAGTACATAGGGGTTCTCCAAAAAGTGACGCTATCACGAACTTCAACTCGGTTCCTGGAAGTAGCGAGGCATTAGTAGTCTTCCAAGAAGCAGCTGTGGTGGTCCTAACTTGCGATACCAGACGCGCGCTGTTGAAGTTCCTGTCTTACGTTGGTAGGTAGCCGCATCTGAACAATGCGGTTTGTCGAGGAGCGATCGTCGTTGATTTAGCCTCTTTCATGTGTTAGATGCATGCGTTGACTTTTCAAGTCGACTCAATGTCAACGCGTTCGTGACTCAGACGTTTTCGCGCGCTCTCCGATGCACGTGCGTCCCGCAGCAGTTCGACTCTCACAGGCAGTGTGAGATTGTAGAATCCCATAAGATGGCTCTCGGTGAGACTGTTCTCCGCAAATCTGTCAGTGATTCGTTATCGTATCATTACTACTATTGCCGAAAGCCAGCCTTACCGAGCATCCAAGATTAGCATCTGCTTTTGAGTCGACTTGGAGCACCCGTGACCAGCCTCGGTATTGCCGAAAGCCAACCTGATCGACTGAGCACCCGTGATCAGCATCATGGAGCGCCGCGCATTGCCTCTCCTCTGCCGCCTGTTGCTCTGTAAGCCCTGGGATTCCCGAGGGGGCTTACCTGTTGCTCTATAAGCCCTGGGATTCCCGAGGGGGCTTACCTGTTGCTCTGTAAGCCCTGGGATTCCCGAGGGGCCTGCTGCTGGCAGCAGGCGCATAGGCCTCAGAACCTCACTGATTGCGCTGTCGTCTACGATTTTGGTCACAAGACTTGGAGTAGCGTGTCGTTTTCGAGTCTGTCATTTTCGAGCCTGTCAGTTTAGAGTCGAGGTGACTTTTGAGTCGACTCAAAAGTCACAAGACTTGGAGTCGCGTGTCGTTTTCGAGCCTGTCATTTTAGAGTCGTGCCTCATCATGTCCCAACCCAATCCGCCTGCCTGTCTGCCTGCAGGTGCGACTCTCTGCACTGCCTACGGCGCGTCGGCCGCATCATTGCTCGCGCCGATCCTCTCTCACCATGGCGGCTCTTCTGCTGTTGCTTCTGCTGCTTCTGCTGCGGTCAGTCCTTCTGCCGCTTCTTCCACTGTTAATCCTTCCGGTTCGGTGGTGCACGGGAGATTAATCTGTAAGTCTCGTCGCCGTCAGCAGTGGAGACTCGTAACTGATTACTTTCTTGCCACGGTTTTTTCAAGCGTGGCTGTCATTCAACAAAATTGGTTGTTATCAACAGACGCGGCTGTTATTTAACACACGTGGCTGTTATTCAACACACGTGGCTGTTATTCAACACACGTGGCTGTTATTCAAACACACGTGGTTCCTGCAGTCAATGTGTGTGCTATTTATTAGATGTGGTATAGCTGACATGATTGCTACAGCTGAAGTGTGTTTTACAGCTAGTATGTGCTGCAACTGAAATGGCTGCTGCAACCGGTGTGTGTGCTATGTGCTATAGCCCATGTGTGTGCCACTGATGACATGTCCTATAGCTCATGTGTGTGTTACAGTTGAAGTGTGTGGTGCTACAGCTAGTATGTGCTGCAACTGAAGTGTGTGCTGCAACTGAAGTGGTTGCTACAGCGGATGTGTGTGTGTCTTACAGCTCGTGTGTGAATCACCAGCTACCAACGTTTCCGCTTTCCCGGTCCCGCCCATTCTCGTTTCCAGTGAAGTGGGTGGCCCATTTGCGTCCTGCCAAGTTCAACGGGAAAGTGGTCGGTGACAGAGGAGCATCGGGGAAAGTGAAGTTGAAGGTGGTCGAGTGCGTATGCCTCTCTCTGTCCCCTCACTCCCTTTTTCTTCCTGGTGTGTGTTGAGTTGACTCAAGCACAACCTGAAAGTGGTCGGCGACAGAGGGGAGGAGCATCAGGGAAAGTCAAGTTGAAGGTGGTGGAGTACGTATGCCTCTGTCCGTCCCCTCATTCACTTGTTCCACTCGTGCTGAAACGAATCCTATGGAGTCACACTGCTTGTTCCACTGGTGCTGAAACGAATCCTATGGAGTCACAAAGCTTGTTTCACTGGTTCTGAAACAAGTCATATGAGTCACAGTAACTTTTGCGAGTCTTGTGTGTTACCCATCTATTACCCCTCAATCACCCCTCTATGTCCCTCTATTGCCCCTCTATCGCCCCTCTGTTGCCCCATTGGCAGGCTCTCACCGTCGCTCTGCAAGGTGAGCTTACCATATTGTCAACCTTTGAGGCGCCTCAAAAGTCGTGCAATGATGGCACTACTCTCTGGCACTGACCGTATCTTCCATTGGCCCTCTATTGCCCCGTTGGCAGGTTGTCACTGTCGTTATTCAAGCTGAGCTTTCCATGGGATTCACCTTTCTGAGGGACCGTCTTTGTCGTGCAATGATGGCACTACTCTCTGACGCTTACCGTATCTTCCATTGGCCCTTCTGTTGCCCCGGCGGCAGGCTCACACCGTCGCTCTACAAGCTGAGCTACGATTACAAAAATTTCAACCTCAGCGGAGGAGATGCCTTTTGAGCGGACTCAAAAGTTATCGCACCATCTATTGCCCCTCAATCGCCCCTCTATTGCCCCTCAATCACCCCTCTATCGCGCCTCTATCTCCCCTCTGTTGCCCCACTGGCAGGCTCACACCGTCGCTCTACAAGCTGAGCTACGATTACAAAAATTTCAACCTCAGCGGAGGAGATGCCTTTTGAGCGGACTCAAAAGTTATCGCATCATCTATTGCCCCTCAATCGCCCCTCTATTGCCCCTCAATCACCCCCCTATCGCGCCTCTATCTCCCCTCTGTTGCCCCACTGGCAGGCTCACACCGTCGCTCTACAAGCTGAGCTACGATTACAAGATTTTTAGCCTCAGGGGAGGAGATGCCTTTTGAGCGGACTCAAAAGTTATCGCATCTATTACCCTTCTATCGCGCCTCTATCGCCACTCTGTTGCCCCTCTGTTGCCCCTCTGTTGCCCCTCTGTTGCCGCTCTGTTGCCCCTCTGTTGCTGCTCTGTTGCCCCTCTGTTGCCCCTCTGTCGCGCCTCTGTTGCCGCTCTGTTGCTGCTCTGTTGCCCCTCTGTTGCCCCTCTGTTGCCACTCTGTTGCCCCTCTGTTGCCCCTCTGTTGCCCCTCTGTTGCCCCTCTGTTGCCCCTCTGTTGCCCCACTGGCAGGCTCACACCATCGCTCTACAAGCTGAGCTATGATTACAAGATTTTTAGCCTTAGGGGAGGCGATGCTCCCAAGCTGGGTTACCTGGATTCCTGCTTCGCCGACGGTATCCTCGCGCCCGCCACCATGGTAAACATCACAAAGCCCAAGACCCGCCGCAGGCGTTACAGCTTCACGAGCCATGGGGAGCTACAAGCCAACTCGGAGAGTACTGCTCGCAAGTCTATAGAGTCTTTTACACAGTCAGGAGCGTTTGCGGTTGTGGGACGCGAAGGTAACAAGGTTGCTCTCTGTGGGAAGCTTAAGAAAAAGGTGAATTAAGAAGCATTTGGGTGCACGTGTTAAGTTCCATGCAGTGTTTTGATGGTACCGTAATACATGTGGATTTTTTCTGCATATGAAAAAGATGAAAGCTGCACCGGTCAAGAACAGAAACTGAAAGTGATACCCACTCACTCGCGTGCGGAATGGAATGGCCGAGCTTTTGAACCAAGCACACCATCTGGAGACCACTCCTGTGGCATAGAATGGCATGAGAACTCGACTCAGCCAGCCTTTGAAAAATGGTGCTGCCGTAGTGCTTCCTCTTCAAACAAGAATACATTACGAACTTCCTGTGACTCTATGCTCAAGATCAAAGCTTTTCACATATCAGATCAATTTTTGATCCAGCCAATTTTGTCAGAAGCATCTTGGAGTTTTAGTGCTGGCACGGCTCTTCCAAATTTACCTGTAGCAGATAGTACAAGTGACAAACGCTTTTGAAGTCGTCTCACCTATATTAATCTGATCAGAAGCATGTAAGTTTGGTAGATTGCACCCTTGAGCTCCGGTCCGGACTATTCAACATGCGATACGGTATTCTCCTCAGCATCTTACCGACCAACCTCACTCTTCCCCTTGCCTAGGCGATCTTAGAAACGTCTCAAGAATACACCACGGGGGGGGCTCTGCTCTACTCCACCCCACATGCGATATTCTGCACAGAATCTTGCCGATGAAGCTCACGCTCTCCCCGCCAAAGTTGTTTTGTTGCCCATGTGATAAACGAGATATATCAATAATGCACCGACAGGGCTCTGGTCTACTCAGGGCGCTCCACTATTCTGCGCAGGATCTTGCCAATGGAGAGCCACGTGACTTGATATACCTGAGTTTTTGAGACGTCTCAAAAAGCTCTGCTCTACTCAGGACGCTCCACTATTCTCCTCAGGATCTTGCCGATGAAGCTCGCACTCTCCCCGCCAAAGTTGTTGCCGAGGTCAATCTTCTGCTTGCCGCCTGCCTTGGCCTGCTGCGCATTGCGCATGTCCCTCAGCTCCGAACGGAGAACCTGGAGGGATGGGAGACACACAAAGGAAAAGAAAGGGGCAGGGACGGGGCAAACAAGAGGAGGCTTCAGTAACTCACTCTGCAACGAGGTGACTTTTGAGTCGACTCAAAAGTCACCTCGTTACTATGGCACACGGCTTCAGTAACTGTACAGCAGGGTGTAACCTGAGCTCTGAGCTCTCACCTCTGAGCTTTGAGCTCCCTGCACTGCCATGTGTGGGTGCGAGAGCAAGGGGGGAACAGAGAGTTCCAGTTCACAAGCTATGTTCGCGGAAGTATGCGCCTCTCGTTGCTCCTCAAAGGAACAGCAGGTGAGGGAGTACGATAGAGGGAGAGGGGGAAAGAGTGAGAGAGTGACAGAAGGAGAGAGAAGGAGAGAGCGGGTGAGAGAGGGCACTCACAAAGTCTGTTCGCAGCAGAATGCGCCTCTCGCTGCTCCTCAGGGCAGCAGCAGCCATCACGCGCACTCTCTGCTCGCCATCGTCCTCCAAATAGTCATCACTGTTGCCCTCCAGTAGGGCCTCATCCTCCTGTGAAGGGAGAAGGGGGGGAGGGTGGGGAAATGAGTGGAAGAGGGAGTGAGGAAGCAGCAGCAGCAGCCATCACGCGCACCCGCTGCTCGCCATCGTCTTCCAAGTAATCATCGCTGTTGCCCTCCAGAAGGGCCTCGTCCTCCTGTGGTACAGGATATGGGAGAAGGTAGGCAGGGGAGGGTATCAGAAGGCAGGGGGGCTAGCGAACATGCATTCACCGTCTGCTCGCCATCGTCCTCCGGGTTATCGTCGCTGTTGCCCTCCAGCAGGGCCTCATCCTCCTGTGGTACAGGATATGGGAGAAGGTAGGCAGGGGAGGGTATCAGAAGGCAGGGGGGCTAGCGAACATGCATTCACCGTCTGCTCGCCATCGTCCTCCGGGTTATCGTCGCTGTTGCCCTCCAGCAGGGCCTCATCCTCCTGTGGTACAGGATATGGGAGAAGGTAGGCAGGGAAGGGTAACAGAAGGCAGGGGGGCTAGCGAACATGCATTCACCGTCTGCTCGCCATCGTCCTCCGGGTTATCGTCGCTGTTGCCCTCCAGCAAGGCTTCGTCCTCCTGGAGAAAGGGATGGGTGGAAGAGAGAAACCAGGGGGGTTCAAGCAGCAGGGGTGTTGGCGCATGTGCACGCACTCACTGCTCCCCGTCATCCTCCAGGTAGTCATCGCTGTTGCCCTCCAGCAGAGCTTCATGCTCCTGTAGAGCAGCAGATGGGAGGCAGGCAGATGGGGTTGAATGAGAGGAGTAGCAGCAGCAGCAGCAGCCATCATCCGCACTCTCTGCACGCCATCATTTTCCGGGTTCTCAACGCTGTTGCCCTCCAGTAGTGCGTCATCCTGGCCTACTGGAGGGCAACAGGCAGCGAGAATGATCTCCCTGGCCTCCTTACGCACTCCCATACTCCGCACAACCGTACTCGTTACCATCATACTCGTTGCAAGCACATGTAAACATCTGACCTGTAGTGTGGTGGAGTACCCTGCTAGCGCCAGGCGGCAGGCAGCGAGAATGACCTCCCTGGCCTCCCGCTCGTGCTCGAGCGTTAAAGAGGGGGTGAAGGGCACTACAATACCCTACTACCCCACCAGTATACTCGTTACAAACATACTCTCTATGAGAGGGAAGATTATGAGAACTGACCTGAAGAGTGGTGGAGTAACCAGCTAGCGCCAGGCGGCAGGCAGCGAGAATGACCTCCCTGGCCTCCAGCTCGTGCTCGAGTGTGAAGGAGGGGGTGAAGGGGAGAGACGGCTTCTCGCGCACGGCAGGTGCGGAGGGGGAGGAGGGTGACCCGGCGAATGACGTGGCTGCTGCTAGCTGGAGTGGAGGGGAAGGGGGGAAGATGGAGAGGAAGATGGGGAAGGGGGAATGGAAGGGGGGAAGTATTAGGAGAAAGGGAGAAATGGGGAAGGGAGCAGCGAGAATGACCTCCCTGGCCTCCAGCTCGTGCTCGAGTGTGAAGGAGGGGGTGAAGGCAGAGACGGCTTCTCGCGCACTGCAGGCGCAGAGGGGGAGGAGGGCGACCCGGCGAATGACGTGGCTGCTGTTAGCTGGGGGAAAAGAGAAGGTGGGGAGGTGGGAGGAAGAGGGAATGGGGGAAATGGTGGGAGATGTGAAGGGGCCGCATGTATTGGAAGAGATGTGTAAGGGAAAGAGGGAGACAACCTTGGGATGATCGCAGTGGTGAGGAGTCCGTGCAGCAGAGGTCAAGGGGGGTCTTTGAGTCGACTAAGGGGGAGTGGGCAAATGAGGTTGCACGTTGGCCGAGACGTAGGTGAAGGAAAAGAAGGAGGGTTGTGGCTGAGAGGGTGAAAGCCATTCGATGTCAATAAAAGTCAAAGAGAGTCAATCAATGTGAGAGGATTTCACCTCCCTGATCTGCTCCTCGGTCACAGACGGCCCTGCTGCCACGAGGCGAGCGAAGGCAAGCAGCTGACAGGGCGTGAACGAGTCAACCAGAGTCAACGAGACTCAGTTAAAGTCAATGAGAATGCAAGGGGCTCACCTCTCTAATCTGCTCCTCGGGCACGGACGGCCCTGCTGCCACGAGGCGAGCGAAGGCAAGCAGCTGAGAGGGCCAGCCGTCCATGCGGACCGGGAAGGAGAGCGGGCTGTCCGGCAGGGAAGGGAGAAAGGGGGTAAGGAGAGTGTGGGTACGGGGGAGAAATGAAGGAAAGGGGCAGAACGCGGGGAGGGAGGGGGTAAACAGCAGAGTTGAGCAGATGGGAGGGTGAGCCGTCCATGCGAACCGGGAAGGAGAGCGGGCTGACAGAGAGTGAGGGAGGAGGGAAAAGGAGGGGGTAGGGAGCGGAAAGCGAGGGAAGTGGACATTCGGCAAAGCATGGCAGCTAAGAGGGCCAGCTGTCATGCGGACAGGGAAGGAGAATAGGCTGATAGGTGGATGGAGGCGGAAGGGAGTAGGGAGGGGGTTGGGAGGGGGTAGAAAGGGGGTTGGGGGGGCCCAGGGAGTGGGTAGGGAGGGGAAATGGAGGGGTAAGGGAGGGGACATTTGAAAAAGCTGAGCAGGTGAGAGGGTCAGCAATCCATGTGGACAGGGAAGGAGAGTGGGCTAGCAGGACGAGGGTGTAGGAAGGGAAAGGAAGAAAGAAGAGGAAAGGGAGGGTGTTATGCGGACAGGGAAGGGGAGCGGGCTGACAGGAAGGCAAGGGGGAGAGGGAGAGTGGAGAAGGAAAGGGGCAGAAAAGGGAAAGGGAAGGGGTAAGCATCGAAGGAACCAAGGTTAGTTTCTCACCAGGTCAGCCCGTTGGCTCGCAGCGCTGCTTCCTTGACGGGCAGCAGGGGGTCGTCTGGGGAGAACGCGAGAAGCAGGTGTGGTTGCAAGCTACAATGGTGGGGTGAAAATAAGGGATCGTACCAGGAGAGCCCGTTGGCGCGCAGCGCTGCCTCCTTTACGGGCAGGAGCGGGTCGTCTGGGGAGAGCGCGAGCAGCAGCGAGACGGAGTCGCTGGGGTTGCGCGTAGCGGGCACGACACCATAGGCCAGGAGGAGCTCTCCATTGGACTTGGGACCGTAGGAGACAAACACCTGGGGGGAGGAGGGGAAATGGGCATGAGGGCGAGCAGCAGTGGGGGAGGCGCTGGGGTTGCGTGTGGCAGGTACCACACTGTAGGCCAGCAGGAGCAATTGGACTTTGGACCGCAGGAGACAAACACCTGAGAGGGGAGAGGGGAGGGGAAAGGGGGAAGGGCGCTAGCAGCAGCGAGACGGAGTCGCTGGGGTTGCGTGTGGCGGGCACCACAACATAGGCCGGCAGGAGCTCTCCATTGGACTTGGGACCATAGGAGACAGACACCTGCAGAACAGAAGGGTCATGAGAGGGAGGTGAATGAGCAACAGCAGCGGCAGCGAGACGGAGTCACTGGGCTTGCGCGTGGCGGGTACCACCCCGTAGGCCAGCAGGAGCTCTCCATTGGACTTGGGACCATAGGACACAG